ATAAAGTACTGTATTTATTTGTTTCTGATTAATGTTACAATTTATCATTGATGTTACAATTTTATAAAGTCAAAAATATTTTTAGTATTATTATTTTACAGTATTATGAGAACTCATTATTCTTGGAGTGCAAAGAAATCTGAAACTGACATATCACTTAACTTTTAGTTGAAGCTGATAGTTAAAACCACATTTTTTTGTTTCTTCTTATTGTTTTATTGTACTGTGAGTGACCTTTTATTACTAATAAGGATTTATTTTAGACATTTTGAACAATTCACATCCTGGGAATAGTGGTAAATTTGAAACTTAATGCCAAAGGATTAAGGGTAGTGGTTGCAAGAGGAAGATATACTGATCAGTTTATTAGTCCCAGACACTAATGTCAAGGTCTCCCCAGTCCAAACCCAGTGGCTTAGTGTGTACATAAACATGAGCTGCCTAAAGAAAGGTTGCAGGCCATAAATGTAGTGTAGTAATTATGAGGAAATAGGTGTTAAACTATCTTAAGTTCTACTGTAGAAAAACTATAAGAATAGATTTAAGGAAAGACTAGTACTGTATACTGAGATGGTAAACTCAAGTTTTCCTGATGGGATGCAGAGGTGTGTTTAAGTCTTCAAACTATTCGGTGCAATTCTCTTATGGGTCCGACTGTACAGTAGCTCGTGCTATAATTGTGCAAAATCAATAAATACTTCACTGTATATGTACTTTACATCCAGACCTACAGCAGCTTTGATTTTCATTTTATTGAACATAAAACAAGAGCACATTACTCAAATCCTCCCATTTCAATGATATTTTGCATTGCAGTACTTTGGAGGCCTGCAATATGAAGGGGGAGCCTGTCAGTGTGTTGCACCGAATGTACCTACATTAAACACTCCTCGATTGGATGGTAAACTAAGATCTTGCACAATGAGGCTTATGCCAGATGAAGGTGTGGCTGTCACGAGTCATGAACCATAGTCTGAAAGCCCGAATGCTGGACCACGGACCAAGTTATAGCCGTCCTCGACTTTCAGAGGAGGTTTACGAACCAGCTTGTGACACTGGGTAAAGGTGTGGTTGTTTTAAATAAGCCATATTAAAGTGTGAATGGTTGGGATCAAATAAGATTGAATTGATGGAAAAGGGTTTGGAAGAGGATTGATGAAGTAGGGTGTATTAAAAAAGTTGTAGTAGTGGGCCAGGTTGAAGTAGGCTAGATTAATGGACCAGGGTGACGTAGGCTGGAGTATTGGACCAGGGTGATGTAGACTGGAGTATTGGACCAGGATGATTTAGGTTGGGGTATTGGACCAGGGTGATGCAGGCTGGAGTATTGGACCAGGGTGATGTAGACTGAAGTATTGGACCAGGGTGACGTAGACTGGAGTATTGGACCAGGGTGACGTAGGCTGGAGTAGTAGACCAGGGTGATGTAGGCTGGAGTATGGGACCAGGTGACATAGGCTGGAGTAGTGGACCAGGGTGACGCAGGAGATGGGACCAGGTGATGTAGACTGAGTATTGGACCAGGTGATGTAGCTGGAGTAGTGGACCAGGTGATGTAGGCTGGAGGAGATGGACCAGGTGACGAGGCTGAAGACTTGGACCAGGGTGATGTAGACTGGAGTAGGGACCAGGTGATGTAGGAGTAGGGACCAGGGTGGTAGACTGAGGTAGTGGACCAGGGTGATGTAGACTGAGTAGTGACCAGGTGATGCAGGCTGATATTGGACCAGTGACATAGGCTTAAGCAGTGACCAGCGTGACGAGGCTGGAGTATTGGACCAGAGTGATGTAGACTGGAGTATTGGACCAGTGATGTAGGCTGAGGTGGGACCAGGGTGATGGATGGAGTATTGGACCAGGGTGATGTAGGGCTGGAGTATGGGACCAGGGTGATGTAGGCTGAGTAGTGGACCAGGGTGATGTAGGCTGAGGTAGTGGACCAGGGTGTAGGCTGGTAGTGGACCCAGGGTGATGGAGGCTGGAGTATTGGACCAGGGTGATGTAGGCTGGAGTATTGGACCAGGGTAGTGGCTGAGGTAGTGGACCAGGGTGATGTAGACTGAGTAGTGGACCAGGGTGATGAGCTGGTATTGGACAGGGTGATGTAGGCTGAGGTAGTGGACCAGGGTGATGTAGGCTGGAGTGTGGACCAGGGTGTAGGCTGAGGTAGTGGACCAGGGGTAGGCTGGGGTAGTGGACCAGGGTGATATAGGCTGAGTAGTGGACCAGGGTGATGTAGGCTGGGGTAGTGGACCAGGATGATGGGCTGAGGTAGTGGACCAGAGTGATGTAGGCTGAGGTAGTGGACCAGGGTGATGTAGGCTGAGGTAGTGGACCAGGGTGATGTAGACTGAGGTAGTGGACCAGGGTGATGTAGGCTGAGGTAGTGGACCAGGGTGATGTAGGCTGAGGAAGTGGACCAGGGTGATGTAGGCTCAGTGGACCAGGGTGATGTAGGCTGAGGTAGTGGACCAGGGTGATGGGCTGAGGTAGTGGACCAGGGTGATGTAGACTGAGGTAGTGGACCAGGGTGAGTACGCTGAGGTAGTGGACCCAGGTGATGTGGGCTCAGTATTGGACCAGGGTGATGTAGGCTGAGGTAGTGGACCAGGGTGATGTAGCCCAGTATTGGACCAGGGTGATGTAGGCTGAGGTAGTGGACCAGGGTGATGTAGGCTGAGGTAGTGGACAGGGTGATGTAGACTGAGGTAGTGGACCAGGGTGATGTAGGCTGAGGTAGTGGACCAGGGTGATGTAGGCTCAGTATTGGACCAGGGTGATGTAGGCTGAGGTAGTGGACCAGGGTGATGTAGACTGAGGTAGTGGACCAGGGGTGATGTAGACTGGAGTATTGGACCAGGGTGATGTAGGCTGAGGAAGTGGACCAGGGTGATGTAGGCTGGGGTAGTGGACCAGGGTGATGTAGGCTGAGGTAGTGGACCAGGGTGATGTAGGCTGGAGTATTGGACCAGGGTGATGTAGGCTAGAGTATTGGACCAGGGTGATGTAGGCTGGAGTATTGGACCAGGGTGATGTAGGCTGGAGTATTGGACCAGGGTGATGTAGGCTGAGGTAGTGGACCAGGGTGATGTAGGCTGGAGTATTGGACCAGGGTGATGTAGGCTGGAGTATTGGACCAGGGTGATGTAGGCTGGAGTATTGGACCGAGGTGATGTAGGCTGAGTAGTGGACCAGGGTGATGGGCTGAGGTAGTGGACCAGGGTGATGTAGGCTGAGGTAGTGGACCAGGGTGATGTAGGCTGGAGTATTGGACCAGGGTGATGTAGACTGGGTAGTGGACCAGGGTGATGTAGGCTGAGGTAGTGGACCAGGGTGATGTAGGCTGGTGAGTGGACCAGGGTGATGTAGACTGGAGTATTGGACCAGGGTGATGTAGACTGAGTAGTGGACCAGGGTGATGTAGACTGGAGTATTGGACCAGGTGATGTAGCTGGGTGGACCAGGGTGATGTAGACTGAGGTAGTGGACCAGGGTGATGTAGGCTGGAGCTGGACCAGGTGATGGGCCTGAGGTAGTGGACCAGGGTGATGTAGACTGGAGTATTGGACAGGGTGATGGAGCTGAGGTAGTGGACCAGGGTGATGGGGTGGAGTATTGGACCAGGGGTGATGTAGACTGGTGAGTGGACCAGGGTGATGTTGACTGGACTATTGGACCAGGGTGATGTAGGCTGAGGTAGTGGACCAGGGTGATGTAGGCTGAGGTAGTGGACCAGAGTGATGTAGGCTAGGGTAGTGGACAGAGTGATGTAGGCTGAGGTAGTGGACCAGGGTGATGTAGGCTGAGGTAGTGGACCAGGGTGATGTAGGCTGAGGTAGTGGACCCAGGGTGATGTGAGGCTGGTAGTGGACCAGGGTGATGTAGGCTGAGGTAGTGGCCAGAGTGATGTAGGCTGAGGTAGTGGACCAGGGGTGATGAACTGAGGTAGTGGACCAGGGTGATGTAGACTGACAGTGGTGGACCAGGGTGATGTAGACTGGAGTATTGGACCAGGGTGATGTAGACTGAGGTAGTGGACAGGGGTGATGTAGACTGGGTATTGGACCAGAGTGATGTAGACTGGTGTTGGACCAGGGTGATGTAGACTGAGTATTGGACCAGGTGATGTAGACTGAGGTAGTGGACCAGGTGATGTAGACTGAGGTAGTGGACAGGGTGATATGGACTGGACTATTGGACCAGAGTGATGTAGACTGGAGTATTGACCAGGGTGATGTAGGCTGAGGTAGTGGACCAGAGTGATGTAGACTGAGAGTAGTGGACCAGGGTGAATAGACTGGACTATTGGACCAAGTGATGTAGGCTGAGGTAGTGGACCAGAGTGATGTAGGCTGAGTAGTGGACCAGAGTGGTGTAGACTGAGGTAGTGGACCAGGTGATGTAGGCTGAGGTAGTGGACCAGGTGATGTAGACTGAGGTAGTGGACCAGGGTGATGTAGGCTGAGGTAGTGGACCAGGTGATGTGGGCTGGGGTAGTGGACCAGGGGTGATGTAGGCTGAGGTAGTGGACCAGGGTGATAGGCTGGACTATTGGACAAGGGTGATGTAGGCTGAGGTAGGGACCAGAGTGATGAGGCTGAGGTAGTGGACCAGAGTGATGTAGACTGAGGTAGTGGACCAGGGTGATGTAGGCTGAGGTAGTGGACCAGGGTGATGTAGGCTGAGGTAGTGGACCAGGGTGATGTAGACTGAGGTAGTGGACCAGAGTGATGTAGGCTGGGGGTATTGGACCAGAGTGATGTAGACTGAGGTGGTGGACCAGGGTGATGTAGGCTGAGTGGTGGACCAAGGGTGATGTAGGCTGAGGTAGTGGACCAGGGGTGATGTAGGCTGAGGTAGTGGACCAGGGTGATATAGACTGGACTATTGGACCAGGGTGATGTAGGCTGAGGTAGTGGACCAGAGTGGTGTAGACTGAGGTAGTGGACCAGGTGATGTAGACTGAGTAGTGGACCAGGGTGATATAGACCAGACTATTGGACCAGGGTGATGTAGGCTGAGGTAGTGGACCAGGTGATGTAGACTGAGGTAGTGGACCAGAGTGATGTAGACTGAGGTAGTGGACCAGGTGATGTAGACTGAGGTAGTGGACCCAGGGTGATGTAGGCTGGGTGGTGGACAGAGTGATGATGTAGACTGAGGTAGTGGACCAGGGTGATGTAGGCTGAGGTAGTGGACCCAGGGTGATGTGAGGCTGAGGTAGTGGACAGGGTGATGTAGGCTGAGGTAGTGGACCAGGGTGATGTAGGCTGAGGTAGTGGACCAGGCTGAGGTGGTGGACCAGGGAGGTGGACTGAGGGGTAGTGGACCAGGGTGATGTAGGCTGAGGTAGTGGACCAGGTGATGTAGACTGAGGTAGTGGACCAGGGGTGATATAGACTGGACTATTGGACCAGAGTGATGTAGACTGAGGTAGTGGACCAGGGTGATGTAGACTGGACTATGGACCAGGTGATGTAGTGAGGTAGTGGACCAGGTGATGTAGACTGGTAGTGGACCAGGGTGATGTAGGCTGGTGGTGGACCAGGTGATGTAGACTGGGTAGTGGACCAGGGGTGATGTAGGCTGAGGACCAGGGTGATGTAGGCTGAGGAGTGGACCAGGGTGATGTAGGCGGTGGTGGACCAGGGGTGATGTAGGTGAGTAGTGGACCAGGCTGAGTAGTGGACCAGGTGATGTAGACTGGTGGTGGACCAGGGTGATGTAGGCTGAGGTAGTGGACCAGGTGATGTAGACTGAGGTAGTGGACCAGGGTGATATAGACTGGACTAGTGGACCAGAGTGATGTAGACTGAGGTGGGGACCAGGTGATATAGACTGGACTATTGGACCAGGTGATGTAGGCTGGAGTAGTGGACCAGGGTGATGTAGGCTGAGGTAGTGGACCAGGTGATGTAGGCTGAGGTAGTGGACCAGAGTGATGTAGGCTGAGGTGTGGACCAGGGGTGATGTAGGCTGAGGTGGTGGACCAGAGTGATGTAGACTGGAGTGAGTGGACCAGGGTGATGTAGGCTGGGGTGGTGGACCAGAGTGATGTAGGCTGAGGTGGTGGACCAGTGATGTAGGCTGGTGAGTGGACCAGGGTGATGTGAGTGGACCAGGTGATGTAGGCTGAGGTAGTGGACCAGGGGTGATGGAGCTGGACTATTGGACCAGAGTGATGTAGGCTGAGGTAGTGGACCAGGGTGATGTAGGCTGAGGTAGTGGACCAGAGTGATGTGAGCTGGGAGTAGTGGACCAGGGGTGATGGGGCCAGTGGTGGATGATGTAGGCTGAGGTAGTGGACCAGGGTGATGTAGACTGAGGTAGTGGACCAGGTGATGTGGACTGAGGTGAGTGGACCAGGGTGTGTAGGCTGGAGTAGTGGACCAGAGTGATGTAGACTGAGGTAGTGGACCAGGGTGATGTAGACTGGACTATTGGACCAGAGTGATGGGCTGGAGTAGTGGACCAGGGTGATGTAGGCTGGAGTGTGGACCAGGGGTGATGTAGCTGGACTATTGGACCAGGTGATGTGAGCTGAGTAGTGGACCAGGTGATGTGACTGGACTATTGGACCAGGTGATGTAGGCTGAGGTAGTGGACCAGAGTGATGTAGGCTGAGGTAGTGGACCGGTGTGGGCAGCTATTGGACCAGGGTGATGTAGGCTGGTGAGGACCAGGGTGATGTAGACTGGACTATTGGACCAGGGTGATGTAGGCTGAGGTAGGGACCAGAGTGATGGAGCTGAGGTAGTGGACCATGATGTAGACTGAGGTGACGGTGAGCTGGATAGTGGACCCAAGTGATGTAAGCTGAGGTAGTGGACCAGGCGTGTGGGGTGGACCAGAGTGATGTAGGCTGAAGAGTGGACCAGGGTGATGTAGGCTGAGGTAGTGGACCAGGTGATGTGGACTGGTGAGTGGACAGGAGTGTAGGCTGGTGGTGGAGGTGATGAGACTGAGGTAGTGGACCAGGGTGATGTAGGCTGGAGTAGTGGACCAGGATGATGTAGATTTTTCAATACAGTACATTATTGAAGACTAAAAAATAATGAATAATATCATATCTTACAATTTGGATAATGTTAAAATATTTACATTTAAAATAAAAGTTTACAATGATGTGGTTATGGATGCATAACACAAAGACAAATATGTACCTCATCAAACAAGGTGATGGGAAATTAATTTGTTAGTATTCCTCGTGATAGATTTCAAAACTACAAAATAATTATAGTGGCAAATATTATAAGAAAGAAATGAACCAAAGGATGGAATGTCTTGCATATGATGATAATGACAATTCTGATAGAGTTAAGAATTGTAAATATAAAACATGCCACTAAGTTAATTAGAATTTTTTGCTGTAAGGGTTTAAGAATTGGTTAAATAGCTGATTTATAAAATTACTTAAATTTACATCTTAGGAACACTGAGGCCAGAGTTTTATAACAGTTTTGTTAAATACACCTGTACTGTACATAGTACTTAAATAATGGTTCAAAAATATAGTTACCACTGATGTGCTAATACCTTAGAATTGGTACTGTATATGTACCTATCAGTATAATTTAAAACATGAGAACATTAAAATTAAAAGGCCACGTTCCATCCTATATATTGTTTTTTATTATTATGATTATTATTATTATTATTATATTATTATTTTATTTAAAATATTATATATATTATTATTTATTATTATTATTATTATTATTATTATTATAATTATTATGATTATTATGATTATTATTATTATGATTACAGTATTATGATTATTATTATTATTATTATTATTATTATTATTATTATTAAATTGTATTATTATTATTATTATTATTATTATTATTATGATTATGATTATGATTATTATTATTATTATTATTATTATTATTATATTATTATTATTATTAATATTATTATTATTATTATTATTATTATTATTATTATTATTATTATTATTATTATTACAGGTTGTACCTCTCTAGTCCGGCATTCTGTGGTCCGGAAACTCCGTGGTCAGAACGATTTTAGTTTGTCCAATAGGCAGATAGGCAGCTCTTTTTTTTTTTTTTTTTACATATCTGAATTATTATTATTATTACAGAAGTATTAAATTTTTGCTCCTCAGGCCCCAATGGTCAGTGACCTATGCCGGGTGGGCTAATCCATAAAAAAAAAAAAAAGCCGCGAAATTAAGGTTTGTTTACATCCGGCAGTTGGCTGCTCTCTCTCTCTCTCTCTCTGCTTGTCTATACAGAGTACAACATTTAACCCTTCAATATATATGAGCAGTAAATAAGTGTTGCTTTTATATCTTATGTAAAGTAATGGCGATAAAATTTTCACATGTCTTGCTTACATACGAGCAGTCTCACTTTTTTTTCCATTAATGGTTAGCTACTTATATTGTTCCATTTATTAACAATAAATAACATTACAGGTACTTTAGCAACCATATTCATTTTTACATTAATTTTTACTCCAGCTAAACTTAGGATCTATTTTTTCTTCAGTTTTATATGTAGAACCAATCAGTCACTGGTTTTAGATAGCTTTAACATAAACAATGCGGCAAGTCTCGTCTCCTCTAATATTCCGTATTATTAATAAATTGTATTGTTAATTTGCCCACACGTACATTAATTCAATAAAAACAAATTCGAAACATTAATTAAAATATATATGAACAGTAAATAAGTATTTGCTTTCATATTCTTATGTAAAGTAATAGATGATATGTTTCATCTTACCCATATCACGATCTCTCTTTTTCTTTACCATTATCGTTAAGCTACTTCTATTGTTCCATTTATTAACATTAAATAACATTACTTAAAAAAACCATATTGGTTTACTACAGCTACAACCAAGGTCTTATTTTCTTCAGTTTTATATGTAGAACCAGTCAGTCACTGGTTTTGTAATCCATAACAATGCTGTGTCATTTCCTCGTGTTTTAATATTCGTATTATTAATGAATTATTGCTCATTTTGCACATAAACATTAATTCAATAAAAAGACATTCAGTAATAAAAATAATGAGTCTTTTGTACATAAGAGAAATAGCTATTTACGATTATACATACGTCGTTTCCGCGTTGGCGAAGACGTTCAAACCCTCCCGAAATTCAAGTTTCCGACAAAATTTTTTATTTATTTATTTTTGTGTTCCAATAAATCGTTAAAATTAAAACTTCATAAAATTTGAGAAGCTACTATACGACATTTAACCCTTCAATATGTCTTCAAAGACCATATTGAAGAAAGTGGTGCTAGTGCTTCCAGGCATAAGCACAAGTCACTATCTATCCAGGAAAGGGGTGAATTTCCATGGTCCGGCAATTTCCATGGTCCGGCACCGGTCAGGAATCGAGGTTGCCGGACTAGAGAGGTACAACCTGTATTACTTTCCACGAGGTAAAAACCTGAACACAAAACGGTATGATTTTGTCATAAAACCCTCTCTAAAAAGAAAGTGCTAATACAACACACATTGCATGTCAACCTCTCGGGTGTGATGTCTGTAAAGTGCCATTACCCATACTCTTCCTAAGTCTGGAGTAATAAAACTTACTACAGGTTGTACCTCTCTAGTCCAGCAACCTCGAGACCTGACCGGTGCCGGACCAATGAAATTCACCCTTTTCTGGATAGATAGTGACTTGTTCTTATGCTTGGAAGCACTAGCACCACTTTCTCTGCATCATGGTCTCTTGAAAACATATTGAAGGGTTAAATGTCGTATAGTAGCTTCTCCAATTTCATGATTTTTAATTTTAATGTATTTTATTGGAACACAAAAATAAATAAATAAAAATTTTGTGGCGGAAACTTGAATTCGGCGGGTTTGAGCAGCCATAGCGATGCAGACAACGTCCATAATCGTGTAAACAAGCGTCATTTCTCTTATGTACAAAAGATTCATTATTGTTTATTACTGAATGTCTTTTTATTGAATTAATGTTTATGTGCAAAATGAGCAATACAATTCATTAATATCGTAGAATATTAAAAACACATGAAATGACACAGCATTGTTTTCGTTGATTACAAAACCAGTGACTGACTGGTTCTACATATAAAACTGAAGAAAATAAGACCTTGGTTGTAGCTGTAGTAAAACTAATATGGTTGTTTTAAGTAATGTTATTTAATGTTAATAAATGGAACAATAAGTAGCTAACGATAATGGTAAAAGAAAAAAGAAGCGGCATATGTAAGTGCCATGCGCGTGAAAACATATCGTCATTACTTTACATAAGAATATGAAACAACACTTATTTACTGTTCATATATATTTTAATTAATGTTTCTGAATTTGTTTTATTGAATTAATGTTGTGTGTGCAAAATTAACAATACAATTTATTAATAATAAATGGAATATTAGAGAGAGGCAGACGGCTGCGGCATTGTTTATGTTAAAGCTTAACCAGTGACTGATTGGTTCTACATATAAAACTGAAGAAAATAAGACCCTGATTTTAGCTGTAGTAAAATTAATGTAAAAAATTAATATGGTTGTTTGAAGTACCTGTAATGTTATTTAATGTTAATAAATGGAACAATATAAGTAGCTAACCATTAATGGTAAAAAAAATGAGACTCGCGTATGTAGTGCGCACATGTGGCTTATCGTCATTACTCTACATAAGAATATAAGCAACACTTATTTACTGCTCATATATATTGAAGGGTTAAATGTTGTACTCTGTGAACAAGCAGGGAGATAGCAGCCAAACTGCGGATGTAAACAAACCTTAATTTCCCGCGGCTTTGTTGTTGTTTTTTTTTCGAGGATTAGCCCACCGGGCATAGGTCACTGACCCACATTGGGGCCTGAGGCAAAATTTAATACTCCTGTAATAATAATTCAGATGTTCAAAAAAAAAAAAAAAAAAAAAAAAAAAAAAAAACTTCTTATCTACCTATTGGACAAACTAAAATCGTTCCGGACCACGGGAGTTTCCGGACCACAGAATGCCAGACTAGAGAGGTACAACCTGTAGTAAATTTGTGACAATATAGCTACATATAACGTTTTTCCAACAACTTTATACAATGAAATTTATATGAGATTGAAACAAAGTACCTACTGAAACTGTATTTCATTACAAATTAAAAATAAATGTTATATGTATTAGCTTCATACATACTTCCTCTGCCAAATAAGAAACCACTAACCTCCACCACCCTATTCACTCTGCAGCTTCCACACACATCGTGCTACCAAACTTGCATTGCAAAACTTATATTTCTTAAAAAAATAATAAGTTAGGTACAGGGTATTTTAATTTTGTCAGTTTTATTAAACGTACTGTATCCATAATGGTAGGATATTGGAACTAAATTATAAGCAAACATTTAAAGCTCATACAGCTTAGTCACATGTTTGTCATTCTTTGTCTATACCTGTACTCCCATCACACCATCTCAGGGTGTGAGAAGATGATTGCCAGAATATGTCACCCTTAAAACCAATTGGTGTCTTATAGGAAACTGGTTTTCCTCTGGAGTTAATCTTAAGTGTTGATGTCACACACCAATTGTGAATGTAACCTTGACTTTGTTGGTAATATAATTAAATTTTTAAATTTGTGTTACTGTGGTGATTCAGCCGATCGTGTTAGTGCTTGGAGGACTTGCACATGGATGCCCTTATTGCATGACCCAGTGTTGTATGTGCTCTGCTTCATTGTTAATCGTCTGCTTTGCATCTTGGTAAGAATTTCCATTATGCTGCTTTTGTGATTCATAATTTTTAGATTAGTCATAATTTTCATGTAGAAATATGTTTTAAAGTAAGCATCCCACTTTTGGAATGTTATTGTCCCAAATTATATAGTGATTATTAGTCTGTGTATCAGATTATTAAATTTGTGAAAGATATTGATCTGTGGGAATTCTTGGTCTGAGTGGATATATTGTAATTTAAACGTAAAGTTCTTTGATGAATTTTAATCTCTTTCCATTTTCAGACAGAGGAACTAACAGTGTCTCTCACAAGACCAGTGTACAACATGTCAGATTATACTGTAAGTTGTCATGTATGCAGTGCAGTATTTAATACTCATAAACTGTTAATATTTTGGTCCAAGGTAAAATAGATTACAGTGAGTTCTGCTATAGCGTGTTTGATACTTGAATTTATAGCGATTTCTGAATTGGAACAATATTTGTATACTGCTGACGCTTGTTTTGCTATAACGGATTTTTGCTTACTATTTCTCCAATTTTGTGGTATTAACTGTGAATATGGTAAAAAGAATATCTCCAAAAAGCGTTCTGATGATAGAATTCCGGTGATTATCGTAAAAGAAAGGATATAACACTTGAAGAAGCTCGATGTTATCAACCTCAAAATCACCCTTCTCCCCCATCAAGTTACATTCATATTTTTTCAAGGTAAAGTGTTAAATTTACTGTATGATTTCATTATTAGATATGAATGTAACATTTATTTAGACTGTGCTATCCCTTTGTGTTAGGCTAACTACTAAATTTTTTGGAATTTAGGTAATCTGCACCTAACCCTATTTCTCCATAAGCCCTGTTATTTCTATTGCGATTTTCTATCCTACGATATTTTACAAGAACATAATTATCGTTATAGCAGAACTACCTGTATTGAAATTTGTATTTTAGATTACATCGTTTACCTTAACTCTAAATAAAAAAGGTAAAATTGTATCATGTTGTACCATTCACATTACATATGAATACTTTCCTTGAGAACCCGCAGACATCTCTCATAGTGCAGGCTACTTACTAGGGTTCAGGATCTCCAAACCATCCTCCATTATGCTAGCCAGAGTTAATCTATTTACATTATAGATACAGTAGAGTATACCAATCACCCTTCCCTCCCTATTACACTCTCTCATATATATACAGTCAGTCCTCGACTTCTGACGGGGTTAGGGACTGACGACCACGCCGTAAGTCGAATTGGTCGTAAGTCGAAAATGCGAAAATAATACATAGAAAATCTAAAATGGGTGTCTCCTTTTCTTCTCAGCACCACGAGAACTCTCACTTTTACGCTTGCCAGCTATTTTAAAGGGAATTACAAACGAAAACTTTGTCAGTACACAGCGCAATCACTAACGTTGGGACTCGAAAATACTCAATTTGAAAAATATTTTTACTCGTTGCGACTGTCATATGTCTGGGTAATGATCGTGAAATTAGGAGTATCTGTGTGTATATGTATATGTATGTATATATATATATATATATATATATATATATATATATATATATATATATATATATATATATATAATATATATATATATATATATATATATATATATATATATATATATATATATATATATATATATATATATATATATATATATATATATATTTCATGTAGATCCTGAAACGTGGATAAATAAATCTTGATTAATCACACAGGAAAGGGAAACAGGAACCTTAGCTTTTCGTCTTTATTCAAGACATCTTCAGAGGCAACTGGATTACATGGACAGAGAGGCTTAAATATACAGGGTGACCTTATTAAACATGAGGTCAGGTCATAATGATGTCATCCACTAATCCCCACCACACTCCAAACCACGTAGAGGGAGCTTAAAAGAGCGGGTGACGTGACTAGTCAGGTCACGTCGCCCTCTTCTCTTAAGCTCCTCTCGTTGACTAATCTCTCTGTTTTCACTGGAGGTAACATCTTGCTTGAGACTCTCTTCAACTAAACGCTTTTTCTGTGTTTCCAGCAAATTATTGGTCATTTTGAAATATATTTTTGCATATTGACAATATATAATGCAGTGCAGTGTTGATTTAAAAGAAAATAATCTTGAAATACACCAAGAGAACTAAAAATTTTATGGGTGAAATGGTGCCATGGGTGACTTCTCTTCACCCCAATGCCTTCTCTTCTTCCTTCTCCTCCCACCCCATTCTAATTCCCATCATCATCATCATCATCCAGGAGCCTTCTACATACCTCAAAGTAAGTGAACTTTTCTACCATTTTTGTTGAATTTAGACAATTTTCGGTGAGCTGGAACCAATTACCCAAAAACCCATTGAAACAATGGTTTCGGTTAACGAACAACCTTCTGGAATGGATTGTGTTAAGTTAATCAGAGGACCACTAATATATATATTATACTGTATATATATATATATATATATATATATATATATATATATATATATATATATATATATATATATATATATATATATATATATATATATATATATATATATATATATATATATATATATATATATATATATATATATATATATATATATATATATATACACACAGTCAACCTTCACTTTACGCGGTTAATGTAACTCTCAGGGTCCTTGGAAAGTGAGAAGTAAAAAAGTGAATAACATAACATATGGGATTAATTGAAATAGAGTCCGGGCCGACCCCCAAACTCCACTTTTTGACGACACACAACTTTGTTGTAGTAAAAATTTTATCTTAACTTTATGATGGTATGAAAAAACAAGTAATATAGAAGAGGTTAGCTTAGAAAAAATAAAGGTTAACATAGGAAAAATAAAGGTTAGGTTAGGAAAACTAAAAGTTATGTGGAACACTTAGGTTAGTAGAAGAGATGGGTCGGCATACGGGGATGGAGGCTGGTTCCGAGGCAGAAGGCAGATTACTGGCCCTCAGGTGAATCACCATTACTAGGTGAATCACCATCACTGTCACTTACAGTTGTCAGGGCTTCCCTGACAAATCCCTCAAAGTCATCTTCACTGTCACTATCACTGGCTTGAGCTGGCTGTGGTGGGTTGCGGGCGAAGAAATCTGTTATGCTTTGCTGACGGCTGGTGTTGATGTTGTCGTGATACACCTTGATGTAGGGCTCCATAGTCTGCAACAGCTGGGTAGTGAAGATTTCATACCTGTTTGCGTCAGGGTCATCGGAAAGGAGGAGCTTGGCTTTCTCGATACACTCGATGGCACCCCTAACATTACTATGGGATAAGTGTTGTTCTTCTTGGGATGACGCACCACCTGCCTCTTCACTGACGTCGTCATCATCATCATCTACCATCTCGTCGGTAGTCACATCAGGATCCCTTATCACCTCCAGGATGTCGTCGTTGGTGGTCTCGGAGAAGCCTGGAACTGTAACAGTCTGCGCAGCTTCTCTGGCAAGGTCCACTGCTACTGCAACAGTCTGAACCTCACCAGTCACAGATTGACTCCTCCTCTCACCTGGTATTCCATGCAATACATGTCTCCATGCTTGACGAATTGTAGCAATAGACAGCTGATCCCATGACTCCACCAAGAAGTCCACAGCTTTCTTGATGTTAAATACTCTCCAGAATTGTTTGAACAGTATTTTTTGCTGTGCCAACTGTTGATCCTCATCTTCTTCGCTCTTGCTATCGGTGGCGGTGTCACTCAGGTTGCGCAACTCTTCCCTGGTGTTGGTGTAGTCGTTCAGGAGTTTGAATTTTTTCGTAGAGAATGCAGCTTTTACATTACAAATTAACTCTTGGTCCATGGGCTGTAATATAGACGTAGTGTTGGGAGGAAGGAAGACCACTTTTACGTTGGGGTGACGATCTAACAGTAGGGGCGAGTGTCCTGGTGCGTTGTCCAGCAGCAACAAAATCTTGAATGGCACATTCTGTCGCTCACAGAATTTCTTTACATCGGGAACAAAGCAGTCATCAAACCAGGAGAGGGACAGTGTAGAGAACATCCACGCCTTACGTGCGGTCAGCCAGTGGACATTTAGCTTGGTCATGTCCATGGTTTTGCAGGCGTGCGGCTTGCGTGCTGTGTGGATCACCGATAACTTGAGCTTACAGGTACCGGAGGCATTGGTGGTAAACAGGACGGTGATGCGTTCCTTCTGCATCTTCCGGCCCCGAATCTTCCTGGCATTCTTTACAACGAAGGACTTGGAAGGTAGCTTTTTCCAGAAAAGACCAGATTCTTCCATGTTAAACACCTGGTCGTCACTGTACTGTCCTTCCTCCATAATCTCACGTAAAAACGGAGGAAATTCCCTAGCCGCAGCACGGTCAGCACTCGCTTCTTCACCACCAATGTTTATATTGGTGATCTTGTTCCGGATCTTAAACCTCTGTAACCACCCAGAGGAAGCATTAAAGGGTTTGGGCTCTATAATTCCCATCTTTCGTGCCACTGCCATGTACAGTTCACGTGCGAAGTCCTTAACAGAGCGCGTGTCGACCGCCATGTTCCGTCGCGCCTGACGCACCAAGTACCTCACAAGTAATTTTTCTGTCTTGAGAAGCACCTGGTTGTGAAAATACTTGATCATAGAAGCACCTGGTTGTGAAAATACTTGATCATAGAAGCACCTGTAGACTTTGTGATCTTCATGTGCTCCTTTATCTTGGCTGCATCCTTCTTTATTGTTCGAATCATAGATTCATTCACACCATGCTGGCATGCCAAATCAACCTGCCTTGTTCCTTTCTCCAACTCTTGGATGATGGTATACTTCACCTCGTAGCTTAAGGAACGTCGTGTCTTCTTTGGCTTAGTGCCGCTGGGTCCAGGTAAGGAAAGGTTTCTCTCTGGGGGTGGTGGTCCGGCGGAAGCCATTTTAGAGAACAATGGGTGCACGTTTACACGGTCTGGCGTGGAGGGATGAAACTGGCGCGGCTAGGTCAAGGATCATCTTTCCTCCCTCCCTCCCCCGGGTGGACACGTCATAATACTTTAAGCCAATTACATCTAGCAGCAGAGGGGGGTAGGGATGCATGGCCAATTACAGTCCGATACGTCATATGACGTCAGTGATAACGCAACAAAGACACACACTGCGCAACCTTACCGCGCTGCTTGCCCAAGCGGAGGGAGGAGGAGGGAGAGGCGAGGAGCACAGGCAGGCAGGCGGGTGGGGCGAATCTAAAAATAGCGTCGCGCCGGACACTCTCCGCGTAATGGGGTTCACGCACCGCGTAATGTGAGCACGTTAGGTTCTGGCAAGGCACCGCGTTAACGTGGAAACGCGGAATGTGGGACCGCGTAAAGTGAGGGTTGACT